ATTGTGAGGTCCCTAGCCTCGTTGCAAGATTTTGATTTTGAATGAATTGGTGATTTAAAAAAAAAAAAAAAAAAAAAAAAAAAAAAAAAAAAAACCATTGCCTCATTTAACTTAAACGAATTCTTCTTGCATCAACCTTCTTAGCAATCCTGTGTAGTCCTAGCATAAAACCAAGTCGGAGCACTTTGCAGCAGCCTCAAATTGTCATAACCCAACCTACTCTAGCCTAGACTACCATTACTCAGATCTATGAGGCGATCTAAACGTCGACCTACCTTGGTCGGGAGGAACTTGTTCCTATTAAGTAACCTGACACTCTCCTTTCCACCCCCCCCCCCATGCGGCCTACTGTGACCGCCGACTGGAACCGAGTGCACCTGGTTCCTCTTTCTACCCTTCCTACCCTCTTTCAACCCAACGTCCCAAGACCAAGTTCCCTTCCGGGGACATGTAAGCCAACCCCAAGGCCCACGTTCGTCGGAACCACGTCTCCCCCCTAGTGTGAACCTCCTGGCTATGTATCCCCCGCGGTCGTGACCGCGGGGTCCATCTCGGGCCGCGGTCATGTACCCAACCGTCGAGGTCGGATGCGGCCAAGATGCCGCGGTCCCGAGTTTGGAAAATATTTTTTCCTTTGAAAAAAATCGTAAAAATAAATAAATAAATACAGGGATATAGAGTTTTTTATACTCTACACCCCTGTATTTTTTAAAACAACGTGCAATGCCGTTTAGGCATTAAAAAATATATATATAACTGAAAATAAAGACCGGAAAAAAAAAAAAATAGAAGGGCAATTTTCTTTTTTGGTATTTTTTGTGTCGAACTACTGCCTTTCCATTGGACCATCTGCTTTTTGTTTTTTTTGTCATGTCCGATCAGTGTGTGAAAATTGTTTTTCACAGTATTCAAAAAAGAGAGGCCCATTGTGGTCGTTTTCGTTGACAACAATAAAAAAACGAACGGCCTGCAGGTGTTCCTGTTGCCATTTCAGATAAAGTCATGCATCTATCTGGAACAGCAACAAAAATACCTGTTGCCGTTTTGTTGATGTCAACGACGTGAAGAGCTGCACACGCGGGAGAGAGAGAGAGAGAGAGAGAGAGAGAGAGAGAGAGAGAGAGAGAGAGAGAGAGAGAGAGA